TGTTTCCTGTCAACCGGCCGGACTGACAGGAAGTGCACACTCAGTGTGCACCTTCCTATCAGTGGCTCAGCCGGGCACCGCTGACCTGAAAGCGCGCAGCTCGCCACTACAGGGAGGGGGTAAGAAGAGAGGGAGGAGGGGGGGAACAAGATGAGGAGGGAATAAGAAGAGGAGGGGAATAAAAGAGGGGAGGGGGGAATAAGATGAGGGGAGGGGGAATAAGAAGAGGGGAGTGGAGGATAAGAAGAGGGGAGGGGGGGAATAAGATGAGGGAGGGGGGAATAAAAAGAGGGGAATAAGACAGGAGGAGGGAAGAGTTAGATAATCTACTAGTTGGGAGGAAATAGCTAAAATGATAAATGAAGGGGAAGCTACCTGCGGTGACTTTAATCTTCCTGATGTAAATTGGAAAACAAAATTAGCTACTTGTGCCAGAAAGCACACATATTCTAAACTCCCTACTGGAGTTGTCTCTAAAGCAAGTTGTTGAGGAGCCGACTCGTAAAGAGGCCATACTAGATTTAGTGTTAACAAATGGAGATTTGGTATCAGATGCTACTGTAGGTGAAAGTTTAGGATCCAGTGATCATCAGTCAGTGTGGTTTAATATAAGAACAGTGACTGAGTCACACCACACAAAAACAAAAGTTTTAGACTTTAGAAAACAGACTTTTCTAAAATTAGAATATGGGTAGAGGAGTCATTATCAGACTGGAGCAATTTAAATGGAGTCCAAGAGAAATGGGATTATTTAAAAGTTGCACTATTGAAGGCAACAGAAAATTGCATTAGGCTTGTCAGTAAAAGCAAAAAATTCAAGAAACCACTGTGGTACTCCGCAGATGTGGCCAAAATAATTAAAAACAAAAAGTTAGTATTTAGGAATTATAAAAAAAACGAGAGTGAGGAAGACAAAATGATCTATAAGATTAGGCAGAAAGAGGCTAAGCAAGTTCTAAGAGCTTCCAAATCACACACAGAAGAGAAAATAGCACAGTCAGTAAAAAAGGGGGATAAAAAATTTTTTAGATACATAAATGAGAAAAGAAAAGTAAAACAAGGATTAGTTAGATTAAAAACAAAAGAAGGAAGGTATGTAGAAGAGGATAAAGGTCAGGCTGACTGCCTCAATGAATATTTTGTTCTGTATTTACAGAAGAAAATGAAGGAAAGGGACCTCAGTTGAGAAAAAGGATAAATGAGTCATTTATTACACGTGAGTTTACAGAGGAAGAGGTTCTATTTCAACTGTCAAAAGTAAAGACAAATAAGTCAATGGACCTGATGGAATACACCCAAAGCT